TAAATTTAGAATTTCAATTAACCTTGACCAAACATACCAAAAGCTTTGGCAATGGCAATGCTCTCCAAAATTGCGATAAACGGCACTAAGATGACAGTGCCTCCCAGTTCACCGATTAACTCCTCGAAGTTATACGTGTGATTTCCTTTGACAAGGGAGAATGGCGGCGGTGAGAACGGGGGCAAACCCTCCGTTATGTTTCCAGTAATTTGAAACGGTTTGACACCGTAAGAGAACAACGAATAGCTCAATACTATTCCAACAATGACGACCACCGCATTCCTGGCCAACGACGTTACCCACATGAATTTTTGCAACGGCGTGCCGGTCTTCTTCCCAGGTAATCTCTAGTTTCGGCAAGTGAAATCGAGCGTGTTATTTGGTAAGGTGTGTCAGAGTTGATTTGATTATTTGTAGAACAAGAATTGGCGATAATGTAATTGATGAGAGATGCATGTATCAACTACCAAAAACGCGAACCCAGCGTTCACTTGTTTAGCTGACGACAAAAGACAACTCACACTCGCACGCTCGCATCATTCATCGATATATTCCAACAAGGTGAAGCACGGGCAACAATCAATCAGTGATCCAGTGTATATCCATTTCAATATAGGAAGCATAACCTTCCTTACTTTGAGGCAAACGAGGACGATCATCGAGCAGGCTCCTAGCAGAGGGTCCCACAGGGTCACTTCATTTATATGATTGACAACTTTAGCAACTGCGTCGACAAACGAATCGCTTCTGCCACTCAGGCCGAGCAACGTGCCCAGCTGAGACGTTCCAATTATTATGGCAGCTGCGTTAGTGAATCCAGAGATCACTGGCATGCTAACGAATTCTACAAGAAATCCCAAATGGAGCAACCCCATGAACGTGATCACGCAGCCTGTCAGGAAGCACAGAAGCACCTGCGAAAGTAAAGCATTCACTCCTAAAGCTGTGAAATCCTAGAAAATTATACTGACATTTAGATTTTCATATTTCAGAGTTCTTTCAATTTGTTTGGACGTTGCTTCAATGTTTGGGCGAGAAACGTTACACGTGTCCTTTCGAAAAGACTCTCGGGATTCTGCGAAACAACAAATATCTAATCTCTGCCGCGAGAGAGACTGTATTCGATCTCGACGAACTTTTCCAACGGAATTTCCACACTTTCCAGGTTAATCAGACGCTCTTCCTCGGGGAAGTTTGCCTAGACTTCTAAATAGATAGCAATCTAAGAGAGGAAGGTCTAGCGGGGGAAAACTTCGTAACCCAGTAGTACAATTTCTTAAAAAGTCGGCGTTTCCCGCTCCCCCGTCTTCTATTATCAAAGATTACCATCGATCCTGCCGAATTTAAAACATCGACTATCTTGCGCGCTATTCTTTGACACAATATTTATCAAGAATTTTCTTTCATGTTTCTCGAAATTTCCTCTTTGCAATTGCCAAACACGTGATTACAAACAAATTTTCCAGCCTCTCTATTTAAAATCACGCATACTAATTTAGATGAAATGAAGCAGATGATTTCAAAACTTAAATAAACAGAGTGTCACGTAAATATTTGTACAAGCGAAATTCCTATGAAATTGTTTCAACAAATTCCTCGTCGCATTATCTGCTGCGAAAAGATTTGCAGAGACAAAGCGTATCTGCCTCCCCGGGGAGCCAATTTTAACGTTCGTTTCACGTTACAAGCGCTCTTAGTTTGTTCCTTAGAATTCTTCGAACGGGGAAAACAGAGCTTCATCTTAGGAAAAATGCAAGGGAAAAAACGCGGAGGTGCACTTACCGCGATATCATCTCCAAGTCTTATAACATGATTTTGCGAGAGTAAAGCCATTATTGCCGTGGGTCCCACCGTGATGTCTTTGCAGCTACCGAACACCAGGTAGACGAAGCATCCCATGAAACTGCTGTAGAGGCCGTACTGAAGTTTTCGAGAAGTTCATCTAACGAGAAATCGCTTTCCCGACCGCGATACGATCTAATCTGCTTGTTATTTATTAATTTTTCGATCTCTCTCTGTCTGTCTTCCTCGCCGATCGTCGAAAAACAACAACACGTTTCCTACATATATTCCATCTCTTGGTCTCGTTTATTTTTCGATTTTATCGGGAAATTGTAAATGTGAATTTTACTCGGCGAGGAACCCAAGCAGCCACGCTTCAATTTATAAAATTGCTCTTCTCATTAGACGTGTGATAAACATGCGTGCCTTGATTTTCACGTGCTGTGAAACTAACGTCAGTTCATTTTTTTTTTTTTTTTTTTTTTTAATTGGTTAATAAAACAAAAATTTCTAAAGAAACAGCGAACAATGTTTTCCACCAAGAGAAAGAAACGAGAAGAGGTGAACGTGTTTAATAGAAACACTGTTTTACATATTCAACAGGATGATAACTAACTGTGTTGTTGTTTGAAATCATTAAAGAAGAAGAGGTTTAAGACTCATGAAATAATTATGAAGGAATCTCTTGTTTACGAAAACCGTGTAACAGGTTTCGAGAGAATATATTTCTAAAGACTGATTTGCATGACGAGCCACTTAAACTTTCACTTCGTATTTACCACAGAGCGACGCTTTTACTAATTATCTTGTGGTGTATAAAAATGTCATTGAAACTTCTTAACTCATTGAAAATCAACATTGCGTCAACACCATGTGTTCCAGACACACTAAGGCAAATTTGTTTTTTAATACCAACAACGAAAAGGAATTCTAAAGATTCGCTCGATAGTTTGTTCGCTATTTCATCCACCTGGATTCTAGACTTTTCTATGAAATTTAAGGAAGCTGAAGTATTGATGATGAATTATTGCCTGGCCTCGAGTTGAAAGATAAAATAAACAAAAAAAAAAAATAAAAATAAAATAGTGAAGTAAATAAAATGAAATAAAAAATTATTGACATTGAATATATTGAATATACAATTATAACTCCTAACATATATTCAAATATCTTCAAAGTATCGAATCGTTATGCAACAACGCTATAAAATTACATGGACTGCGACAGTTCTTTTAAACAACTTGAAATACGAATTTAAATAGTTTGTACGAGTAAATTAATAGAAAACAAAGCGATAGTATAAAAAAAAAAATTACTATCTACGTTTCAACGACAAAACTTTCGTCGATCCTACGTTTTCAACTTAACGCTCTAACACTATCGAACAAATGTACACACCTGTGCTGGAAGTCCGGCCACAATTGCGTATGCTATACCCTGTGGTATAGCAGTCAAGCCAACGGTCAATCCTGCCAAAACGTCTTGCAAAAGTTTGGACAAACTGTACCGCGGCAGCCATGCGAGGATCGGTATCCTTCGTAAAAGAAGCTGCTTCAAATCGAATCCGGAAGTCACGTTCCTCCCTGAAATGTACACAAGTTCGACAGTTTATATCCGATCACTTTCCAAACAATTATCCACGAAATATAAAATTCCTCTGAGATTAATCCTCAGGTTCGTTCCTCACGTCAACAAGTTAACATTACTCTGCCGCGTGTATATTTATCTGAAGCTTTGCTAAGCAACACGTAACAGTAGGATTAACGTGAACGACTGGATGGAATTTTTTTTTTGTTTCGTTGATAAAAGAATTCGCAGGTTTCGACTGCCGCGTCGATGAGGGACGAAATATGAAAAATTCGATTCGCCTTCGATCGTTTCTCTTGTAAAAGGAAAAGAAAAGAAAAAGAAGAAGAACTGGCGTTAATTCGCTAAATTGTGAAACAAACGATCGTACATTGGCAAACACAGTACTCTGTTAAACGGTAATGGGGTAGACATATTAAGGATTAAATCGATAACGTAACGGATAAACGGTTAATTTATCCGTGAAAATAATATATGGGCCGTGATGTCCTCACTCTGATAAGTACGATTTAAACTGCCTGGCTGAAAATATGTTGAGATTAATGAAACTCGCTGCTTTAAGCTCTTAATTTTTATTCGCACACGAGGGGAACATTATCAGAATAAATCTTGTGTTTTATATAGATATATAAGTCTCTCGTTTAATGAAAAATTAATGTAGCAGATAAATCAATATTAAACGATGGAATTACGTGATGTATCGTGTTATAGGAAAAATTCAAATCTCCCGCATTATGTGTTGAACAGGATACTTTTAATAATGTTCTTGATCCTTTGAAATAATCGCATCGATCCTACTTAATATCGCAATGAAATAAATTGCAAAATCGGTCTGAACATAGCTTTCTGCTAATTGTTCTTCGAATTAAGAATAATCATACTTCAGAATTTTGTATACTCGTTAGCACAAGATAATTTCATTGAACTCGTCTACGTAATTGGTCCGTGTAACGATGCATCGTTATCTCTTTAAACTGAAAAATTGCGATTGAGCACTGAAGCTGGAAGACAAGCATATTATCATTCAACTGCAAGTCGATATCTTCAAAAAAAAAAAAAAAAAAA